GGCCTGGTCTCCTTGGCAACGCTTCCCCCAGGTGGGATTGGGACAACTGACTGAGGTAGGCGGAGACCTCCAGGTATCCCACCTGAGGGAAGGCAAACCAAGCCTATGCTGTTTGGAGCCGCTCCAGATCTAGGGGCTGCGCGCGTCCACACAAAGGGCGCCCCCCGTTTTAAGCGGGGAGTGGTCATTGTTGGTCTGAATGCAGAGCTTTCATGCTTAAACTGACAAATGGAGGAAGCCAAATTAGCCTTGCTAATGTGCACAGATATTACTAGTCTGTGAAAAAAAATTACTGGCCCATTTGTTTCGTGTATCTATGTGGCTCAATAGCCTGGAAGGAAATGATAAAAAAGAGAAACTGTTTACAAATGCTTCCTAGCCAGGTCAGTTGATCAATTTTTTTATCACCAACAGTATCACCAAGTAGCATGGGCATCACCAAGTAGCTAGAGAAGAGATTCTGTAAGAAAGGTGAAGAAAGAGCTATTCTCAGTTAGTTAAACAGAACACAGGATGTGCCTTTAATACATGGTGGTGACTCAGAAACGCTGTGTCACCACCATCACTGTAAGGTGAGTTTCTCAAATTAATGATCTAGGCAGATGATGCTTATGGTCTGAATTTAAAATTCTCTCTGGCATTCATGGAATCAGGAATTAACAGAAACATCCACCCCTTCTCTTCTTCTGCCACATATAAATAGATGACACACAGAAGCATACTAAGCATTCAGTACATTTTGTATCAGTTGGTCTGGACTCTTTTGTGAATACGCATCCTGCTCCAATTTCAGCAGGCAAGAAACTAAAGCCAGCGCTTTAGATAATCTATAGTGCAGCTGCTTTTATCATTGTTGCTACTAATTTCTCCCCTCAATGTACTCTTCTCCTCCCCCAAAGTCCATAAGCAACTTTAATAGTTTTCTGTTCTTGACATCACGGTGCCTCAACTGTGCCAGCTGACTGATGACAAAGATGCCCAGTGACATTGCCAAGTTCGACTAATTCATGCTTTCTTAGAAAAAGCTAAGGAATAAACCCCACACAAGTCCCTAAGAAGGTTGGATGGCATCTTGTATGTCTCCTTCTGGCAACTCCTGCAGCCAACCTGGTGCCAAATGTATGGCTCTGTTTTCCTTTGGACTACACCAGCAAGGATGAGAAGGGGTTCAACACACACTGCCCAGGCTTGTGCCCCAGAAAGGTCACTTTAGTGCTTCTAATGCAGCAAAAACAACACAGGAGGCAGCAATTACGAGAGTTCGACTTCACCCCCCAAAGGTGTACTCTTCCATTGTATTCTAAGATAGATGCCAACTGCAACAAGTATGTTCTTATTGAGTATAATAGAGGGTGAAATACCCAAGAAAGCACTCAGTGTCTTTCTCTACGCAACGGCACCGACCAGAATAATTTACGCTCAAAGGTGGAGAGACTAGGGCCATCTTTTTTATATATAAGATATTTATTAAGGTTTTCAAAATATTACAAAAGAAAAATAGAAAAAAGAAAAATACAAAATAAAAATAATTAAAAACAACTCAATCTTTCCATTACTTATTTTTCATTAGCTTGTTTCCCGGCCCTCCTCATGCCTCCCTTTTTTGTATTCCAGTTCAGTTTGTTGGTTCAGCAAATCCTTCCCCTCTTTGTTTATCCTATTCTTTAATCTTAAAATATTGTAACATTAAATTTTTACCTATTAGTAATCCATTTTTCATATTCCCTTATAGTATTGCAGCTAAAAACCACTTAATTTCTATCCAACATCATTCTAACATTCATTAATTTTACAATATTTCTGTAAATAGTCTTTAAATTTCTTCCAATCTTCTAGGGCCATCTTTACCCGGGGGTGCAAGGGGTGCGAGGCACCCGGGCGCCAAATTCTGGGGGGCGCCCACCGCTGAAGCCGCCTAAGCTCTTAACTATCTACCTGTTATGAAATAATAAATCATTTTGATCAAGCTAGAAAAACAAAATACATATATACCTAGGTATTACTGAAATGTATACCTACTGTTTCACTAAAGGACTTTCAACTTTGTGTGCTCATTTACCTAAGACTTGTCATTCACAATGGCGGCGCTTGTCAGACTCAACGATGGTGCTTGTCATTCTCAATGGCGCTGTGCATGCGAAATTAACTCTTACATCGAAATATTATGTTACGTATTGTATTGAGGTGCTATGCGGCAGCTGGGTCAGAAGCAACTTTGACACGGCTGATGTTTCTCCTAAGAAGGTGCCTAAACAATACTTATAAGTTTAAGTGTGGTGGTGTTGTATACTTAAGTATAAGTGTATTGTAAATAAATGAGCAAAAAAATGTTTCTTTTCCCTCCCTTCTTCCGTAAACATGAGATAAGGCATAAGTGTGGTGTCAGACATAACCATAATAAAAGTTAATTTGGGGGCTAAACTAAATTTGGGGGCGCTGGGCAGATCTTTGCACCCTGGCGGCGCATATGCTAAAGACTACGCTGGGAAGGATCAAAATAGGCCTACAAAAGTAGACTGGCAGAATAAGCTAATAGAATATGTGGAATTAGCCATGTTGACTGCATAGATAAAGAAATCAGGATGAGTCTGCTATAGAAGAGGAGTGGGAATACTTTGGAGACTACTTAAAGAAGGAAATAACCATATAAATTTCCAAGTAAGGTCAGATACATGAGCAGTAGTGAAAATCAGGAAGGGGGGGGGGGGGAATCAAGGAGATACAGCTCAACAAGGATTAAATAAGATCCCATGGAGGAATGTGTGGAGAAGCCAAAGAGTGTAGGATAAAGGATGATAACTGTATAATGGTTATAAAGCCGAATAATTTCGTTCCAACATTTTTCTAACATTCATCAATTTTACAAAACAATCCTAATAATTTTTTTTAAAACTTTCTTCCAATCTTCATCCAACGTCTCTTCCTCCTGGTCCCGGGTTTTGTCAGTCCTTTCTATCCCATCCATCTAGTTCATTAACCTGGTAATCTTATATCCGAGGCCCTTAAGTCTCTTCCATGTCCCTTCCGCAGATCTTCTTCATATTTATACCTGTACTTTACTTTGTCTGGGACACTATTCATTCTGAATAATGTCAGCACAAACTGAAGCGGTTGATTGGGTACATAAGGAGTAAGGCAATGAGTAAGGAGTAAGGCCCGCTCACAGGTGCTTGTAATGTCAGTGGAAACAGTTGGTAACCGCCTTTAATTTTAACCTGAAGATTGCCACTTGTCCAGTTTTAATTTTAATTTGTTTGAATTAATTATGGAATGTATCTTAATTTATTGATTGCTTGTTTTTATGCATTGTCTTACTTGCATGATGTTAGTCGCTCTGAGTCCGGCTTTGGCTGGGGAGGCCGGGATATAAATTATTATTATTATTATTATTATTATTATTATTATTATTATTATTATTATTTATTGTAAACTGGTTCAAGGGCTTTATATACTAAGAGCAACATATTCCCCATGAAAACTAAAGGTGAACTTAAAAAGACTTGTTGACTTTGCATGCAGGCATACCTTCCAATGAAAATAAGGACGTCCCATTCCATAATAATAATAATGTTATTTATTTATACCCTAGCCATTTGGCATTTGCCAGATGATATTAAGGCTGCACAGGGAAATATCACTCTATGATCCCATTAGCTTCAGGTGCCCTTTTTTCTTTCTTCTTCCAGGTTTTCCTAACCGAATATACTGGGCCTCTTCTAATCTATCTGCTCTTTTACCTTCGCCTCTCAAGTATTTACGATGCAAAGGAGAGCGCAAGAAGTCTATGCCATCCTGTAGTTCAGTGAGTAAGAATGGTCTCTGCTCAAGGATGATATGATGTGATGATGCCCTCTTAGAGCAAAGGCAGACAAAAATGTGAGTGAATTAAGTTTAGTGGAGGAGGTCTACCATGGTTGCATCAATCTGATTCACTCAGTGCTTTCTTTCCTGGGGGTACGCAGGAGTACGCATACCCCTCAACATTTTGTGAATCTAATGGGTAAAGGTAAAGGGACCCCTGACCATTAGGTCCAGTCGTGGCCGACTCTGGGGTTGTGGCGTTCATCTCGCTTTATTGGCTGAGGGAGCCGCCGTACAGCTTCCGGGTCATGTGGCCAGCATGACTAAGCCGCTTCTGGTGAACCAGAGCAGCGCACGGAAACACCGTTTACCTTCCCGCTGGAGCGGGATGTGCTTTCGAACTTCTAGGTTGGCAGGAGCAGGGACCGAGCAACGGGAGCTCACCCCGTCGCGGGGATTCGAACCACCGACCTTCTGATCGGCAAGTCCTAGGCTCTGTGGTTTAACCCACAGCGCCACCTGTGCCCGGAATCTAACGGGAGAAGAAACTAAAAAAAATAAAATTTGCATTTCTTCTCTAGCACAGTGAATCATCAGTTGTGTTGAAGAGCACGGGGATTTGTCAGTTCCGTTGCTGCAACCCCCGATGGCGGCCTCATTTCCTGTCAGGTGTTTCCTGAGTCTCAGACGGAATGAGAGTACCCCTAAACATTTTTTTAAAAAAGAAAAAAGCACTGGATTCATGAATGGGTTAGCCATGTCATTCACAAACACACACACACTACAAATCTGAATTTATTTTTGAATTTTATGCTGGGTAATGTTTGTAAAGGGAACACCTGAGCTCATAAGCTTATGCAGGCTTTTTAGACCCCCCCCCCACTTTTTAAACATAGGCATATAATTACAAGCAAACATCAAGCTGAAAGTAATCACAAAAGCAGTCATAAAAGCAAGAAGAATAAAAACTACAAGATAATGAAAATATATCCCATGGTGGAAAACAAGGTTCACATTTATACCAAACATATCAAATAATGTTGAATGTTGGCAAATGAACGCATATTTAGTGGGAATGTGCCAACCATGAGATTGTTGGGTCATATAAATCATAAATGTCCCCCAAGCAGAAGCAAAGTCTGAGGGGTCCCCATTACCCATGGCAACATGTATGAATCAGTTTTTTGGAAATGGCAATGAACATGACTTTCTATGGATCTACAGAATAACATGATGCAGCCTTCTACCCTGGAAGGATCACATAAGCCAATATGTTCCTTGTACATGCCTTACAACCATAACACCGTAAGGGCGAACCAGACTTTACAATATGAGGTTTCTAGTGCATACTCTTTCCCTTTTAGAAAGATTCAAGGAGGGTGAGGTCTTGACTGGTGGTCTTTTTAGATCTTGAGGAATATTTAACCTATACAGTGGTACCTCTGGTTGCGAACGGGATCTGTTCCAGAGGCCTGTTCACAACCTGAAAGGAACACAACCTGTGTCTGCGTGTCTGCGCACATGTGGGTCGCGATTCGCCACATCTGCACATGTGTGAGTGGTGAAACCTGGAAGTAACCCTTTCTGGTACTTCTGGGTCGCTGCAGGACGCAACCTAAAAAAACGTATCATGAAGCAAACGTAACAAGAGGTATGACTGTACCAGGCATGTCCAACAGGTCGATTGCGATTTACCAGTCGATTGCGGGGCGTCAGTGGTAGATCATGGTCGATCGCAGGACCGTTTGCAAAAGTCCCGCCACCCCCCAAAAAAGAAAAACGTCCACAACTGATTTGTCTCCCCTTAAAAAAAGATCAACAACTTTTGCTGGCAATCGGTAGATCACTGCCAGTATTTTAATACTTTGAGTAGATCGCTGTCTCTTGGGAGTTGGATGTGCCTGACCTATACAATGCAGATTGTAGATGGCTTCCCTAAGATAACCTATTGAGTTAATAGGAGAAGCAAGGCTCTTAACCAGTTCCGGGTAGCAGGTGAGATTTAAAGATGGCTACATCAAACATTGCAATGAATTTTTTGGTTGGATTTTTTTAACCTTTACTTCCTTCTTTTTCTAATTTCTGCAGCCTGGCCTGCTTCTGCCATTGTTTACACTATACCAGACATCTACTGGAGACACTCTTTGTGCATAAGATTTCGGAAGGGCACACTCCCCTGAAAAATATGATCAAGGTGATTTTCATCTGTAAACATATTGTACCGTAGAACTGATTGAGAAAAGCCACTCTGAGAACTTTGTTGCAGAGCGGCCTATACAGTAAATATTGCAGACAAATGAATGAATGAATAAGTGAATATGTGCTACGACTAATGTCAGTCACCTGGTTGTCGGGGCCGGGTAGGAATTTTTCCGCTTGGCAAATTGACACCAGCCATTTGGTTTTCGCCAACCTAGCAGCAATCGTCACAACTTTGTAAGGTTAGGCATTGGGTAAGCCTTGTCATGGGAGGGGTATCCTGTTAAAGGGATCCGGGGTTGTGGTTCCTGTCTGAAGGCTGGGTGTGGGCTAGGGCCATGCCACAACCCCAATGGTGATTCTGGGGGTGTTCTTAATTGATGTATATCATAGGGCTCCCCCTATCGTGTTTGACCCTCGAGACTTCCTGCAGACAGGATATAGTCTTGCTTCACCCAGTTGCCTAAGCCAAACCGCTCACATCTATAACCGACAAAGTTGTGGCCTAATTTATCCCATTAACCCAACATATTCGTGTCTGTGTGTTTGTTTCTGGGGAAACTGCTGGGCTTGGGGCCTTGCCACGCAACTCACCTGCCTGGTGTTGATGCCCTCAGGCCTCTCTCTTCTTTCCCAGTCAGTCTGCTGCCACTCCATTGCTTTAGGAACATTATCTCGGTGATGGTTACAACAACCCCCAAAGGCCGGCCACTACTCCTATTCCCATATTATGGTTGGGAGAGATGTGTCTGAAAATGTTGACTTTTTCAGGTTTTAAAATTTTACAATCAATTATCCAACAACCAACATAAAAACATGCTTCCAAAGAATCTCCTGAACTTCACTCCTCCCCTTTGTGCGTCCTTATATTAACCCTTTCCTCCTGCACCTTTTATATCAATCCAGATCTTTTACATCTCCACTATATCCAAAATTCAACATTAAACTACAAGCGTTATTCCAATCCTACCAATGATTTTAATTATTTATAATGGTTTGTTTTTTTGTTTTTTTGTTTTTTTTAGGTGGGACGCGGGTGGCGCTGTGGGTAAAAGCCTCAGCGCCTAGGGCTTGCCGATCGAAAGGTCGGCGGTTCGAATCCCCGCGGCGGGGTGCGCTCCCGTTGCTCGGTCTCAGCGCCTGCCAACCTAGCAGTTCGAAAGCACCTCCAGGTGCAAGTAGATAAATAGGGACCGCTTACCAGCGGGAAGGTAAATGGCGTTCCGTGTGCTGCGCTGGCTCGCCAGATGCAGCTTGTCACGCTGGCCACGTGACCCGGAAGTGTCTCCGGACAGCGCTGGCCCCCGGCCTCTTGAGTGAGATGGGCGCACAACCCCAGAGTCTGTCAAGACTGGCCCGTACGGGCAGGGGTACCTTTACCTTTACCTTTAATGGTTTTTAAGGTAAATTATGTATTTTCCCCATTCCTTATTAAAATTTTGAACTTCCAGGTTTCTGATTCTTCCGGTCATTTTTGCCATTTCGGCATAATCCATCAACTCAATCTGCCATTCTTTTTTTTTTTTTACAATAATATTTATTAAATTTCATCAATAGACATAACAAAAAAGAAAATATACAACAACACAATAGAAAGGTGAAAAAGAAGAAGAAAAAATAACAAACTTAAGATACCTAAACAGAAAAAAAGAATCTCAATTAATTAATTAAAATGCATTTTCATGAACATTTTGGTTGACTTCCTCTAATCTCCTCCATCTGAATTTCCTCTTAATTTGAATGTAGCAGTTTCCAATATCATTATTTCATAAAACAAGATTACAGTCGTATTCCAATTTCTTTACCTTTCTTATAATACATTTTCTTATTTATATATTTAAGTCTAATTTAATCCTAGGCCTGATTGGTTCTTTCAAGTGGTTACATATCTTTAATATTAGAGTATTTGTTCAAATAGTCTTTAAATTTCTTCCAATCTTCTTGGTAGTCCTCTTCTTTCTGGTCGCGGATTCTCCCGGTGAGATCAGCCAGCTCCATAAATTCCATCATCTTCATCTGCCATTCTTCTACCGTTGGTAATTTCTTGTGTTTTCCATTTTCTGGCTAATAAAATCCTAGCAGCTGTTGTGGCATACAAAAATACTTTCACATCTTTTTTGGGCAATTCAGTACCTACTATCCCAAGGAGAAAAGCCTCTGGTTTCTTAATAAATGCATATTTCATCATTTTTTTTTAAATTCATTATAATTTTTTTCCCAGAAGTCCTTTACCTTGGAACAAGTCCACCACATATGATAGAAGGTACCTTCTTTTTCTTTACATTTCCAACATACATTGTCACAATTATGGTACATCTTTGCCAATTTAACAGGGGTTAAGTACCATCTATACATCATTTTCATAATATTTTCCTTTAACATTGTACATGCGGTAAACTTAACCCCTTTCTAATTTGCCATTCTTTTCTGGTAGGGACTTTATCTTCTTTCCATCTGTGGGCCAATAATATCCAAGCAGCTGTGGTCACATACATAAATAGTCTTTTCTGCTCCCTTTGGATTTCAGCACCTAGAATTCCTAAAAGAAAAGCTTTGGGCTTTTTTTTAAAGAAAAGGTTATTTTAAACATTTTTTTCCAGTTCATTGTATATCATTTCCCAAAATTCTTGTACTACCTTACATGTCCACCACATATGATAAAAGGTGCCTTCCTTTTCCTTACATTTCCAGCATGTATTTGACCCTGTTTTGTACATTTTTGAAAGCAATTTTGTTTTGTTCTCTAACAGCTCTTTTTCAAATTTAGAGGTTTCATACAAAACAATTTATTTTGTCCATCTTAAATATATCATTTAATTGATGGTATTGTAAATAGTCAGTTAATAATTCTCTTATATCCTCAAACCTCTTCAATTTCAGTTGGTGTTCTACTTCCATTAACAGTTCTTTATACGTTCCCCAGTCATTTCTCATATTCAGGTTTTGTGTTTTTTTTAAAAAAAGATATCACTTCCAGTAGGGAGAGCCACCATGGTGTTTTTTGTTCTAATAGATTTTTATATTTTCCCCATACTTCATAAACCGATTTTCTTAGTACATGATATTAAAAAAGCTCTATGTATGTTAACTTTCTCATACCACAAATATGCATGCTAACTACATCTATTATCATGACCTTCAAGGTCTAAAAAAATCAGTATTTTTTAATAATATCCATTCCCTTAGCCAGCATAGATAGGATGCCTCATAATATAATCTTAAATCCAGTAGGGAGAATCCGGCTCTGTCTTTAGAGTCTATCAGCAATTTATATTTTATTATTGGCTTCTTCCCCTGCCAGATAAATCTGGTAATATCTTTTTGCCATTCTCTGAAGTGACCTGCATTGCTGATCAAGGGTATAGATTGGAAAAACAACATTTTTGGCAATACATTAATTTTAATTACCGATATCCTTCCCAATAATGATAGTTCATCCTTCCCCACACCTCTAAATTTTTCTTTATTGTATAGTTATCCTTAAAAATATTTCACTAGCTAAATTGATGCAGTGCTTGAGGCTTGTCTGGTACCTTCTTGGGTCCCAGCTGAAGTGCCCTCTGAGAGGATGTTTTCTCCCATTAGGGTTGAGCCAGCAAAGGAAAGGAGATTCAATCCATACTCTGAGGAGTACATAGATGCCTTCATGTCCTCCTCCCGTATATCCTTGCCTTCCAGCCCAGGGAGTTTCCTCCTACACTATAGGATGCACTCTAGACTACGTACCTTCCAAGGCCTCTCCTTTCACTCAGATCTAGGGACCCCTCTCCTTGGATTCTGTGCTCTGCCTTCTGCTCTTCACCACTTCATCCCCTTTTGAGGCAGCCTGGGAGATGGAGAAAGATGCTGTCTCCATTCCCCACCGAAACGAGGACTGCAAGCTTCTCACCCTCAAAAGGTCTGCTGTGCCAGCTGTCATAGCAAGGTTGTTATGGCTTGCAGAAAAGTGACAGGTGACTTGATAAGGAGTGATATAGTGAAAGCCCAGCTCAGTAACAGTGGTAGGAGAAACAGAATCTTCATTTTCCTCTCATCTGTAAAAGGCTTCATCTTGTTCACTTTAAGAGCTTGGCAGGGGTTTGTGGCACAACAGGTGACAGCAGCGTTATCAAAGAGATTGCACATCCAACTGAATAGCTGGGATCAGCAGAGACTGAGTTGGCTGCAAAGCATTATGACATCACAATGGGGACTGTTTCTCAGCCTCTGCTGTTGCTAGGCAAACTTTAAAAGTGCATTTTCTTGGAAAGGAGAATAGTTACGACAATTCTTGCTCCTCTGTTGAGTATTTTATCTACTCGGCAAAATTTCAATACTACCAGATTATAATAAAACTCCTGAGTGGTTTACAAAAGCACAATATTAAAATTATCAATATGACCGTTAAAAACATGTAAAAACGTTAAAAAGATAATTAAAACCAACAGTATATTATTATTATTATTATTATTATTATTATTATTATTATTATTATTATTATGTTATTTATACCCCACCTTTTCCCCTGACAGGGACTTAAGGCACTTTAAAGATTAAAACAAAAACAGCTAAAAACTTAGGGGGGAAACCAATTACTAAAAAACAATTAAACATGGATACAATTAAAACTGTATATATGCACATAATATATATTTTAAGACCATACAAATAATTATAAAAACAGCATGGCGCCTGCCCCTTCATTAAAAGCAGTGAGTTCTCAAAATCCTGGTGGAACAAGGAAATCTTCACCTTCCATCAGAAAGACAGCAGTCTAACTTCTCTAGTGACTGTGTTTCAAAGTCTGGGAGCATCCACAGAGAAGGCCCTCTTTCACCTAAACTAAAAAGCCTAAAAAGATTAAAACACATGCCAACCTTCGACGTGCCTGGGCAGCCTTTTACTAAACCAAAAGTGTAGGTGCTGCCATACTAAAATATTGATTTCTTACAAGTGCGGAACAAGTATTATGTGGCACATGTAACAGGGAAAGTTCTGGGGATCAAAGTGGTCAAGTGAGCATATATGGGGTATGTAACTTAATGGAAATTATGGGACAGAGTCTGGAATCTGAGAGTTCAGAGAGCAGCCCATACTGGAGAAGACCCCAGGAGTTTATGTCTGATATCGCTTGAGGGAGCCAAAGAAGAACAGGAAAACCTGAGGGGAATCTCAGCAGCAACGTGATGGAGTAGAGGAAAAATTCAGGGAGACTTGGGTTGAGTAAGAATAAGGCAGGTTTCCCCAACCTGGTGCCCTCCAGGTGTTGTTGGGCTACAGCTCCCAATTGGCCATCCTGGGTGGTGCTGATGAGATTTGCTGTCCAAAACGTTTGGAGCACTGTAGGTTAGGGAGGACTGAACTAGTGAATAGGCAAGTGCTAGGAGTGCTCACTGGAAGGACAGATCCTGAAGCTGAGGCTCCAATACTTTGGCCACCTCATGAGAAGAGAAGACTCTCTGGAGAAAACTCTGATGTTGGGAAAGATGGAGGGCACAAGGAGAAGGGGACGACAGAGGACAAGATGGCTGGACGGTGTTCTCGAAGCTACTAATATGAGTTTCACCAAACTGTGGGAGGCAGTGGAAGACAGGAGTGCCTGGCGTGCTCTGGTCCATGGGGTCACGAAGAGTCGGACACGACTAAATGATTAAACAACAACATCCCTTGCTTTTTCCTGTAGGACTAATTGCAGGCATTAACAGTCATCAGCAGGTTTGTCATACCCATTGAGTCAATCACCCATCTCCTACTACCCTTCTGAGAAAAACCTTACCACACCCTCCCACTATATATAAGGGTCTGTTGACTTCTGTTTCAGTGTATTTGAAGAAGTGTGCATGACCAAACTGCGGGAGGCAGTGGAAAACATGAGTGCCTGGCATGCTCTGGTCCATGGGGTCACAAAGAGTCGGACACAACTAAATGACTAAACAACAAGGAACCAGGAGAAGCCCTCTCTACTGGAAAGGACTTGTCACAAAGTCAGGGCAGCAGAGAGAGGAGGGACTACCAGTGTCAGGCTTCAGGAAATCTGCTCCCCCTCCCTCATGGCAGGCTGGCAGTAACGGAAAGACAAGAAGCTCTTACCAAGGTCTTTTATTCCATATTCACACAGAGAGACGTAGAAATGTCATCTCTTGGGTAATGGCATTACTCCGAGTAATCCCCTCCCCCCCTTCCCTTCTCAGTCGTCAACAGCCCCCATCCCCCTTATGGTGTCTGCTTAGGAACAATTGCCTCTGGGCTCTCTGCTCTGCTACTTTCATTGACCACCTGGTTCTGGGAGAAGGGAGGTCTGGAATGCTCTCTAGTGATAACGTGTCAGCCAGCTGTTCCTGCTCTGCTTCTCCCATTATTTCCCAGTTTGCCCCTCTTCTACCTCTGAGCTGTGACCCTCAGCAAACCACCATTGTAAATCTATACCAGGCTTCCTCAACCTCGGCCCTCCAGATATTTTTGAGACTACAATTCCCATCAACCCTGACCACTGTCCTGCTAGCTAGGGATCATGGGAGTTGTAGGCCAAAAACATCTGGAGGGCTGTGGTTGAGGAAGCCTGATCTATACTGTCCTCCTCTTCTCAGGAAGATTCAGGGGGGGGGGGGTCTCCACAATTCCTCCTCTGATGTCCAGTCCCAGAGCATCAGCATCCAATAAACAGATGTGTGTATCTGGTCGGGATCTGTTGTCCCCATTGTGCCAACTACTGTAGAGACAGTAGTTCATTTTGGTATATCCTTTCATTATCTCTATGTTCTCATTACAGGGTTGCACTTTTTACTGGGGGTTCACGTCTTGGCTTGCTTACTACATCAATCACCCACAGTACACTCCTCCATGTAAGTAATGCAAAGGGCACATGTTGCACTAGAAACTTGTCTCGCGCTACAAGAATTGGCCTATAGAGTTTGAGGCCTAGGACCCTCGTAATTATGGGACCGCCTCTCCTGGTATGTCGTGCAGAGGACCCTAAGGTCCATGAATAATAATAGCTTAAAGGTCCCAGGCCCTAAGGAAGCCAGGCTATCATCCACCAGGGCCAGGGCTTTTTCAGTTGCAGCTCTGACCTGGTGGAATGCTCTGTCCCACGAGACTAGGGCCCTGCAGGATTTGATCTCCTTCCACAGGGCCTGTAAGACAGAGCTATTCCACCTGGCCTTCAGTTTGAATTAGCCTGATCCTCTATTCCTTTTCCCTTTCCTCTTCTATGAAGAAACCCTTTCTGGGACTACACATTTAAATTCTTCCCTGGTCTCCTTGCTGGCCCTAAGAGGACTTGGCCAGTTAGCCCTGGTGATCATTTGATGTCTACTGACTGGGTTCTCCCCCCCCCAAAAAAAATGACCCCCTGAATTTTTGAATTTTATTGATATTGATGCTGCATTTTATGTTATATTTTATGCTGTTTTATGCTGTTTTTAAGTCGCATTTTAATCAATGTTTTATATTTGCTGTTAGCCACCCTGAGCCCAGTTTTTAAACCAGGAAGGGTGGGGTATAAATTTATTTTTATTTTTATTATTATTATCAGGGGCTGTTTTTTCCCTTTTT